ACTAAAAATAAAAGATCAGCTAAACATAAATACAATTATAGTGGGGGACCTCACTGCTCCTGTCACAAACAGAATAACTAAACCAAAAGAAAGTCAACAAAGAAATACCACAGCTGACACAGCCTGCAGACAAATGGACTTAATGGGGCATCTAGAGAGCGCTCCGCCCACCCACGAAACACACATTCCTCTCATCATCACATATAACTTTCTCCAAAGGAGACCATATAACAAATATAAAAAATATTTTTAAAAAGACAATACACTGTTCACAAAAGCATATTTAAATGAATACAAAAGAAATCATATGAAAAATACAAATGAAGTCATATCATGCAGAAATCCAGTCCTACCCAGGCCCGCTGAATATGTGGGAGAGCTTCCTGCTACCCTAAGCCAGTGGGACCTGCTGGTCCAAGCCCAGGCACAGGGTGGGTGACACCCTCTTCCACACCCTTGGAACCCCACAACACTCCGAAGCACCCCACCCAACCCCGCCTTCCGAGTAGGAATTTCTGTCCCCTTCTGGGAACCCCCAGATCCAGTCCTGCCACAGGCCAAGTGAGTATGTGGGAGAGCTTCCCCCCCCCCACCCCACCTTGTCCCCTCCAGACTCAGCTCAGGCCTGGCATATAGGACTGGGGTGAAACTCTGCAACTGCAATCCCTGCAGAGAGTGTACGGGACAGAACCACCCAGCTAGTCCACGAGCAGAACATCTTGCCAGAGGGTCACAAGAGGTTTATTCCCAAGGGCAGCAACAGAAAGGTACTGAGGACAGAAGCCAGACCCAAGCCACACACAGCTGGATAAATTCAAACTTTGTAGATCTGCACCTGAACTTCAGTAGGTGTTAAGGTTATAACTGCACAAAAGCTCTACAATAAAGGTCAGAAGACAGTGCTACACAAAATGACGAGAAGGAACAAAATGAATTATCAGATTCCAAGCCCACACATAACAAGTGCAGAAGACACTAGCACAGAACAAATTGGGAATCACACAGCTGAAATCAATCAATCAACGGCTTCTGAAATAAAGAAACAGCTGCAGAAAGGTATAGAAGAACTCAGATTGCCAATGAAAAAAGAAATCCTTGAATTAATAGCATCTCCAGTAAAGAAATAAATTGAGAAACATGTGGAGGAAACCAAATGCCCACACAGAACAAGTGCAGAAGACACTAATTCAGCTGAAATGTAAGAATAAATAGCATCGATAGTACATAAGCAACAGCACAAAGTTATATAGCAATGCAGAACGGAATTCTATTCTACCAGCTCAGCTCAAAAGTATGAATTAATAGCATCAATAGTAAATAAGCAACACCAGAAAGTAATAGAGGAACTCAGAGCGGAATTCTCTTCTGAAATAAAAAGAGAATTCTCTGAACTCATAGCATCTGAAGTAAAGAATCAACTACAGAAACATAGGGAGGAAACCAAATCTGAAAAAAACACTGCAGTGAAAGAATAACTGCTTCTAAAGAAGACATTGATTAAAAAAAAAGTAGAGGAGATTAGAAAAATGATGGGTTCCTTGAATGAGCAATACAGGAAAGAAATAGATCGCATGAAGCAGAGTCAAAGAGATACAGAAGAACGTAAAATCTTAATCACAACCTTGCAAAACCGTTTGAAAGTGAAGTCAGAGTTTCAGATCTTCAAGACACTGGTGGAACTGGAGAAAAGGTAAGAAAAGATCTCTTAAAAACAACTAGGATGCAGGAAAAAAATAATTCAGCACTTGCAAGACGATGCAAAGATGAACAATGTGAGACTAATAGGTATAAATGTGAAAGGAGTCAATACAAATGACCTTAAAAAAATGTGGACAGAAGTAATAGCAGAAAACTTCCCAAATATGACGAAACAATCTGACATTAAGGTAACCAAAGCATATAGAATGCCAAGTAACCTCAACCCAATTAAAAACACACAGAAACATGTAACAGTCAAGATTCCAGAAATTCAGCACAAGAATAATCTACTATGGGCTGTAGAGATGGCTCAGTGGTCTAAAGCACCTACTTAGAACAAGCTTAGCAAAGCATCAGGGACCATGGTTCGATCCCCCAGCACCACATGCCAGCCAGCCCCGCCCCCTGGTGGGCTGAGC